TCTCTGAGAGGGATGAAGGAATGAAACCCAAACCCGGGTCAGCCACATGCAAGGCAAACGCCCTACCTACTCCAGCCCACTAGTAAGCTTAAGATTGTTTATTAAAGGTTGTTGTTCAAGATTTTTCTTTAGGTTTCTGTTTCATAGTGGGAGTGAGAAAAAAATGAAAAATAAAAACCGACCCCCAAAACTAAAAGTCATCCTTAGCTGTACAGGGAAATGGTAGTGAAAGTCAAGCAGTGAGAAAAAATAGTGATAGTGATGAAGAGGTTCTGTTTTTAGGTTTCTGTTTCATAGTGGGAGTGAGAAAAAAATGAAAAATAAAAACCGACCCCCAAAACTAAAAGTCATCCTTAGCTGTACAGGGAAATGGTAGTGAAAGTCAAGCAGTGAGAAAAAATAGTGATAGTGATGAAGAGGAGGTCCCACCAGCCTCTGCACGTTTCCTCCCTTTGATAACAGCACCTCATTTAATGTGGTGTGGCACTATATATTCACTAGAAATCACATGCTATGAAGTCAGTTCTTTTTTGTTTTAAAAGGAAGTTCAGACTAAGCAATACTTGGGTCAAAGGCTGCCTTACGTTCGGGAAAGCCAGAATTAACCCACACCACCTGCAGCAACAGCCCTCTAACTAAACTTTTTCCTTCCATGACCAGCACAGCCACAAAGCAGACAGGAAGAATTAAGACAGTCAAAACTCAAGCTGGTGTATATCACCAAATGCACAAACAGTCCCCTTTGTGACGTGATTTCAAAAGGAAACACACTGGAGCGTGTGCCCCTGCACGCACACACTCACCCCACTTCCTTCCACCTAAAAAAAAACCTGTGAGCAGTTTTTAAAACTCACTTTGCTGCTGCTGAAGCAGAAATATACAGAGCTGGATCTGAAATGGCTTCATTATTTTAAGTCCAAATTCTAAAAGGCTGAGCCAAATGATTCTTTTGAGCTGGACATTTTCAAATGTGTTGATTATGTGACCATTTTCAGACCATCACTGAAATATGAATTATCATTGAGTTCAACACACATCAACCTTTGACTCCCTCTCTGTGTGCAGCTCACCATGATGGGCTGTCTCTGAGATCCTCATTTAAAGGTTCATCCCATCAAAGTCTTGGGGCTTGCTATTTGCCTTATTGATCACACAGGCTAATGCAATTTTTCATTTCATAATGCAATTTTATCATTATTCCACAAACCTGAAAGCTCTTCCAATGAACCCCACACTTCCCATTCCTTCTATTAGTGAACTCTCACTCTTTCAGAGCTTTGAAGCTCATTTTTACTTCTTGATACTTTGCATCTCCTCTTCACACTTTGGGTGTTTAAATTCCAATAAATTCACTCAACAAACATTTACTAATCGCCTAACATCTGCCAAGCATTCCTCTATAACCTTGTGGCTGAGCAGCAAACAAAACAGATAAAGGTACCTATCCACAAGAAACTATTGTCCTAGTTATGGATAGGAGGATATTGTTTCAATTATTAACATAATAAATGAGAACATGCAAATAATAAAGTTACCTTACTTCAGAGGAAAGCAAACAAATAAGTGACTTAAAGAAGAGCATTGAGCACATAGGATATTCCAATAAGGGAAAAAAGCAGGATCAGGGGCTGGAGTACAGCAGGTAGGGCATTTGCCTTGCACGTGGCCGACCCGGGTTCAATTCCCAGCATCCCATATGTTTCCCCCAAACACCGCCAGGAGTAATTCCTGAGTGCAGAGCCAGGAGTAACCCTTGAGCATCACTGGGTGTGACCCAAAAAGTCAAGAAAAAAAAAGGCAGAGTCAGATCTGAGCAAAGACTTTAAATTCTGTTAGCCATGAAGATATTTGACTAAGTAAAAATGTTCCAGAGGAAGTCCTCCATGATGACCTAAAGCAAAAGTATGTGTCCAAGAACATCAAGAAGGTCATTGTTGCTTAAACTGCGTAGATGAAAAATATAAATGAAGAATTTTCTAGAGTCAATGGAGCCAATTTAAGTAATCTTTACATTGAGCTAAACTGAGAGCTATTGCAAAATTTGAAATTGGTGCAGGAGATATACTGAGGGATGGTCTAATGGTTTTTTCTGCCTTCTGTATTGAGGCCAGTTTATAGGGAAGCGAAATAGAACCAGGCTCCAAGGTCCATCCCACAGCTGAATTCCTGAACCAGAGATGCAAGGAGCATTTGTTGCCTAAATTTGTATGTAATTGAATGGAACATAAAATCTGAATAATACAACTCACAGATATCTTCATAAGTGTGAACATAAAAATATTTTCACATCTTTGGGAGTCATATATTGTACATTAATATAACATTATTTACTGCTTATCTTTTGCATTGAACGAAGCTCAATCTTTATGTCTCCTACTTTACTACATAATATAATATGCATCAATTCCAAGCTCCATATAATGAGGTTAATTTCGATTTCCTTAAACAAAAAGCACATTCTACTATCACCACATAAGGTTGATTTTTTGAAATTCTGAATATTATGGAAGAAGTATGCTCTCACAACTTGAAGACTCATGGTTTCAATTCCTATTTGTGTATTTTCATTTTTAGAAGGAAGAAGTTTCTATGGCCACAGATTCTTTCTTCACTCCTACAAACTTACTTGTAGAGCCTTCATTTAGGAAAAAGAAAGGACTCTAAGAGGGGTTCTGGAAGTCCCTGAGCAAACCCATCTGGCAGGAAAAGGAAAGGCAGATGGCATGTCGGCAGTAGATTCACATAGGAAAGGCAACAGATGTTGGATTGAGGTCTTTCTCAAGATGCCAATATAGTCTCACAGCATCAGTTCCAAGACTGCAAGGTTTTAAGGTTTGAAGAAATCATCTTATTCATTTGGTCATTCACAAAACGTTATGGTGGGTGTCCCAGAGCATAGCCCTGGCAATGCAGACCCAACTAAGGAACAGGCATGCCCATGGGACATCAAGCACAGCCCTGACTCAGGTCACATTACCCACTGGAAGAGAAAGTTTACCTTAGGGTAGTAGAAAAAAGAGTTCATATGTCATATGAACTGTAGTACAACTTATATAGTATAAATTGTATATTTATAATATTATCTATAATTAAATGATATGATACCATACTATAGAATATATAATAAAAATAGCTTGTAAAGTATTCAGTATAAGCAGCCATATCATGTATCTGAGTTTTAACAGTTAGCTATGTGACTCTCTAAAGAAGGAGCCTTGCCTTCACCCCTCCCCCTCCGCCCCCATCTCAGGATACGAGAGTATAAAAACACCAGAATGAAAATAAAATCGAAGGACAATCTGAGAGTGGGTATACACCCATATGAATATCACAGTCGCATTGTATTTTCAGTAGCACTGTAGCACTGTCCTCCCGTTGTTCATTGATTTGCTCAAGTGGGAACCAGTAACGTCTCCATTGTGACACTTGTTGTTACTGTTTTTGGCCTATCGAATATGCCATGGGGAGCTTGCCTGGCTCTGCCTATTGGGTGGGATACTCTTGGTAGCTTCCCAGGCTCTCCGAGAGGGACAGAGGAATCAAACCTGGGTCAGCCACGTGCAAGGCCAGTATTTTAGTGACAGTGATTTAATAGAGTTCACTCATAAGTCTCTCAGGAACCCCTGCTGTTCCCCAAACCAGGGAGTAAAGATCACATGTTTCTATCTCCCTGTACCATTTAACTGCCTCGTTGAGCTTGAATGATCAAAGCCGTGTCTTATCACTAATTAAATAAATGTGCTATCACTTCTGTACTATGGCCTGATATCTGAGATTGTCACACAACTTCAAGGGTGTAATGGAATATCCTCAAATACATTCTGAATCCTTGACTAAGAATCTCTGTTTCATCTGAGATGAAACAAAGCCCAGGGCCTGAGTTTGCCCTGTGGGAAGCAGATTTTTCTCACTTGGAATCCCAGGTCTGCCATTTACTGATCTATAGGCTCTTGTGCAAGTTGACTAAAATGACTGTCTCTGTTTCCTTAAAAAAAAAAAAAAAGGAAAGTCTGAATGCCCCATAGGATTTTTGTAAGGATTTAATTATAGGATGTGTATAATACTTGAAAGACTTCAGGCAATTAGAAAGAGTTATAATGTCTATAGAACTTATTAATTCCTGCCAAGTTATACCTGCTAGACCCATTAAAACTGGTTCTGTTTCCTCATTCTAACATAGTTTTTCTTCATTTCCAGTGACCAAATTTCTTAGATAAAGTGCCAGAACCATAAAACTACTATTTACCGCAGCTTACAAATCAGATTCCAGCTCTAAAGAACTGTTAGTACACTGTTTATATGGTGAGTTTAATCAGTAACTATTATCTTATAAATAAACATGATCTTTGAGTTCCTCAGATATAGTATAGAAAATGAATGAAATTATTTCCATAATTATTAATTATTAATATGCTCTTGAAGAGCCTGGCAAGCTACCGAGAGTATCTCCCCATACAGCGAAGCCTGGCAAGCTACCCGTGATGTATTTGATATGCCAAACACAGTAACAACAAGTCTTACAATGGAGACGTTACTGGGCCCGCTTGAGCAAATCAATGAACAACGGCAGAACAGTGCTACAGTGCTACAATGCTATCATCAATACCAAATCAGCTTCAAATGTCTGTTTGAAAAATTGGTATGAAACAAAGTGATATCTTGATATTTATTCTACCACTCTAAAATTGAACATAACCCTACCTTCCTTATCAAATTTATTTCTGCCTTTTACTTTAATCTTAACATTTTTTAAGAGAGCCAGAGATGTGATTTAAATGAGAGATCAAAAGCTTGCAAGATCCTGTGTTTGATCTTCTACTCTGTACACCCCTATCCAGAAGTACCAAGTAGATCCCCATTGGACCCCAAATACCACTTGTAATGCCACTCCCCCCCAATCAACAATGACAAAAGCAAAAGGGATTCATAATAGCAATATTGATTGTGACCATTATAAAAATTAACAGAATATGATAATTACGGTAAATAAATGAACTTACCTTTGGCAGTCTTAAAGATAATTTGCAAACTGGCAAGTCATAAAGGTTTTCATTAAATACAAGAGACTGATCCATGTTGAGAGCTAGCTTTTCTTTAGGTACTTTATAAACTACAACAGTGCCCTTATAATGAGGACAGCTATAGTTTCCAAATTCATCCACCTCTTTGATTTGGAGTTCCAGCCTGTTTTTTCTTTGTAAATGAAAAATAAGCTTGTAGTCTTTTCCATAATCCTTCCCATTGCCTAAATAGAAGTAAAATGAATTTGTTATTATTGATGGATCATTTTATCTAAAGTTTTTTAAAATCCAAATTACAATTTCATCTCTTTAATATAATTAAATCTTTGTGACATGTGTCATTACTTCTTGTCAAAACATAGCCAAACATAGCACCAGTAGCGTGAAATAATTTAAATTACTAAAAAGATTTCTTATTTGTAACTGAATTAGGACCTCATTGGTTGCTTCTAACTATAATCATCTTTTATTTTATTATTACTTAATTTGACTATAACAAGGAACTATTGGAAACACTCATTCCTGTATGTATTTAGAAAATTATTTTCATTCTCAATAAGTATTTTCCCCTTATCCTAATTGCACACTATCATGACCTCATAATTGATATTTCATTACCACAGAAATGTGTGATTTTTTAATGTTAAAGTTACAGAAAATTCAAAGTTAGTAATATTCAAAATGTTTTAAATAAAGCATTTTTGTCATTGTATTTATCATTCAGAAATTCAGTAGCCACATGTCTAATGCAAAAAATAAAATTTCTGACCATTCAGATAAAATATATTTCCACCTAAACTGGAGAGATAACTCTAAGATCTGGACAGCATGTTGGCAAGGTATGATTGAAGTTCCAAGCTCAACGCATGAACCCAAGGCACTACATGATCTGTTGAGCCCCACCAGGTGCGGTACTTGGAGACTGTCAGCTCAACAAAGTCTGAGCAGCATCATATCACATAGTCAAGCACCAAACCTATTAGACAAGTGCAGCTTGTCCTCGTGCTCCAGGAATGATGCCAGAAACTAGAAACTGCTAAGGTAGTACTTTGAAACAAGCAACATTCCCACCATCATAGAAATTAATGGTACTTCTCTACAACTTGGCCAATGGAGGAGCTGCTATATTGATACTATGGAGATTTTATTAAAGTCTAATAAATAATCAGCAAGCATTGATATCCCCTTTTGACTTCTCACTGAAAATACTAGGACTGAGAAAACATAACATTTCATTCAAATAGATTTTACCATGGCAATAGGGATATTTCACCTTTACATTCTAACAGGGAAATACTACCCTGTTTTCTAAAGGGTGCATTAATTACTCTAAGATAAATTTAAAAGTAAACTCTCATTTAGCAATCAAAATTATACATTTCATACAAGAAGTTCTAGAGTTAAGCCTAACATAAAAATGTCTATATTCAAATATTTACCCAGATTTCCTATTTTTGACTCTTACTCCATTATTTTTCCAAAATTTTATTAATGCCATGATTAATAATATTAATAATAGAGTTTCTTGAGCACAGTATTCTAACATCACACCCAGTATTGTTGTGTCAGCTACAGGAGGAGTAAACATTTTTCTAGGCTTGTTCTGGGAATGAAATTAGATCACTTGATCACTTGATTCCCCCGTTATTCATCGATTTACTTGAGCGAGTGCCAGTAACATCTCCATTCATCCCTGTTGCGTGCTAGCATAGCCCAATGGCATCTGTTTGTTCTAGGAACATGCAGAGCCTCAAACCAATTATTCAGGGTCTTGATTAAGAAGTCTGACCATCTTGTAGGTGGGCGTCCATGTGATCTTTTGACGTCCCGTGGAATCCAGTCAGTAATGGCTCTAGTCCAGCGGTTGTCTATAAACCTCATTACATGTCCAGCCCATCTGATTTTTGATGTCTTGGCAAATGAGACAGCATCCCTGATCCTTGAGCGTTGATGGAGATCAGAACTCCGGATTCTCTCTCTCATTTGAGTGAAGCGTGATATTCCAAGCATAGCTCTTTTGATTCCTCTTTGAGAGACCCCAATAGCGTTCTCATCCTGTTTTCATAGGGCCCAGGTCTCTGAGGCGTATGTCAATGCAGGAAGAACAGTGAAATCGAAGAGATGTGCTTGTAGCTGGAGGTTCTTTGTCCTCTTAGTTATTTCTTCAACGCCCTTGAAGGCATTCCAAGCCACTCTCTTCCTCCTGCATAACTCAGGTGCCAGGTCATTCATCGTGTTGATTTCTCAACCTAGGTAGATATAACTGTTGCATTCGGAGATGGTGGTTCCGTTGAGAGTGAATGGAGCGTCAGGAATGAGGCTGTTTCTCATAAACATTGTCTTCGTAAGATTCAGCTGTAGTCTGACCTTTCCACACTCATGGTCGAAGTCGGTCAGCATTTGTGCCACTTGGCTGATGTTTGTTGTTATTAGTACGATGTCATCAGCAAAGCGGAAGTGGTGTAGTTGCTGACCATCTATCTTCACTCCCATTTCTTCCCATTCCAGTCGTCGCATGATGTTCTCGAGGGTGGCACTGAAGAGTTTCGGTGAAATGGTATCACCCTGCCGAACCCCTCTCTTGACATGGATGATTACTTCTTTGTAGAATGGTGAGATCCTGGTAGTGAATCTGTAATAGAGCTAACGGAGGATCCTGATGTATTGAGTTTGTACGCCCTGATTGACTAGGGCTTCTATGACCGCTTCTGTCTCAACAGAATCAAAGGCTTTCTTTAAATCAATGAACATTAGGCAGAGCGGCATCTTGAACTCCTGAGAAACCTCAATGAACTTAGTAATCGTGTGGATATGGATGATGGTACTGAATCCTTTTCAGAAACCGGTTTGTTGGCATGGTTGTCCTTCATCTAGTGTTCTGCTAACCCTATTCAGGATGACTCTAGTGAGCAGTTTGTAGATGACAGACAATAGGCAGATCAGGCGATAGTTGCCAATGTCATGGATGTCTCCCTTCTTTTTTAGTAGTACAGTCTTGCTGCTTGCTGGTTTTCATTGAGATGGAACCTTGCATTCAGACAGGTAGTGTGTGAAGAGCCGAGCCAGTGTATTGATGAGTACTAATGGTAAGTTCTTCAGGTGTTCAGGTCTGATCTTGTATGGGCCAGGTGCTCTTTGTTTCTTTACTGATGAGATGGCGTGTTGAATTTCAGAAGGGAGAACATTGGGAACGATATATCCATTGTGCGGAATGTGGTATGTGGGCAAGTGGACGTGGCTATTAAAGAGATCTGAGTAGAAGTCATGAATAATCTTCTCCATTGCCCTTCTGGAAGATGTGATAGATCCATCGGATGTCGGAGGGCAGTCATCTTGGTCTTGTAGTTGATGAAGGACAGGCGGGCATTACAAATGCTTTTTCTGGCTTCTGCCACATCTACCAGCACCGCTCTTCTCCTGTCTTTGAGGTCATCCTTGATGCCTTCTCTGCATTGTTTTGCCAGCTTAGACATTCACTTGCAGTTGCCTGAGGCATGTGCCAAGCCACGTTGGTGAATAAGATCAAGAGTGTTCAAAGAAAGGCGGTTTTTTGTGGTTATCTCTCTCTCTTGGCATTCCTCGCACAATCATGGAGGTACTGAATCATTCGATCGTATTCCTCATCAAAGTTGTCAATGATGGCATCTTCCCAGGTTGCTGCAACAGAGACAAAAAGAGCTCCCAGTTGGTGGTCGTTCTGGGAGTTCTCTTCTTAAACTTTGCATTCTTTTCTCCCCGTTCCGTGAGGTAGAATTTTGCATGAAGGAGACGGTGGTCCAATCCCGTTTGGAATTTTGGGACAACAGCAACATCGGTTAGGCAAAACCACTGATTGAATATGATGTGGTCTATTTCACTGTGGAACCGTCCACCGGGAGACTCCCATGTCCAACGTTTAGATTCAGCCTTTTGGAACAGTGAGTTATCATGGAAGGTCTTGTTTGACATGATGAACTCAGACAGTCTGTCACCCTGTTTGTTCCATTCTAGGCCATGGGTGCCGATGTGGAGTTCATTGGCTGATCTTCTTGGTCCTATCTTGGCATTAAAATCACCAACAATGTTCTTGTAGAAGGTGTGATCTTCTTTATAGAACTTCTCCTCTCCAGCTCCATGTAGAACTTCTCAATTTCTCTTTCACCATAATTGGATGTTGGTACATAGACAACAAAGATAGACTCGCCAGCAGTGAGCCACATCTATTCAAGTGTAATCATCCTATTCGGGTTGTTAGGCATTCAAATGAATCAATGCTCATGGCTAAGTTCTTGTTGACAAGGATACCCACACCACCGACGCCTCTTTTGTCACATATTCCGAGGAACAGTTCCTCTCCAGTGTCGAAAACGGCGTGATGTGATTGATGTCTTCTCGTTTTGGTCAGACCAATGATGTCATACCTGATCTTTAGATAATATACATAAAATGATTGGTATGGGGCCTGGCACCTATCAAGTGATCAATAAATAATAAACAATAGGAAAGAATGAGCATCTTTCTATTGTTTTGAATTTGTATAATAAAAACAGTTCTTTTGACTTTTTTTAGTCCTTTTAATTTTAAAGATATAATAATTTGAGATTTAGTATCTAAATTGCAATTTCTTTCACTCCTAGAATCCAAAAAGTTAATTGCTTTCAGTACCCTCTCATGGGAAACCTTCAAATTCTGTCCAATAAGATAGTTAACTGAGGGATGTGATGTTATCAATATTCTTTTCTTTGTTGGTGAATTTCCAAAGCAAATAATATCTGATTCTAAACTAGAATTATCAAGGTCACAGTTCTCCCCTTGTTCATCAATTTGCTTGATCGGGTCCAGTAATGTCTCCATTGTGAGACTTGTTACTGTGTTTGGCATATCGAATATGTCACGGGTCACTTGCCAGGCTTTGCAGTGCAGGCGAGATACTCTCGGTAGCTTGCTGGGCTCTCCGAGAGAGGCACGGAGGAATCGAACTCGGGTCGGCCATGTAGGCCGCATGCAAGGCTAACGCCCTACCTGCTGTGCTATCACTCCAGTCCATGCTATCTATAAATAGCAAAATGCAAAGGAGTATGTTCCAGTGCACAAGTCTATATTTGAGAGGTAACCTGCTATTTCAACAGACGACATACCTATAACAGCCTACAATGGAAATGGCAAACAAATAATAATATAATAATAAAGTAAAGAGGCTTGCTTTAATTTACTAAAACAATAAAATAGCTTTTAGATCACTAGA